AATATTTAAATAAATATATTATTGTTAATGAAAATATTTTTAATAAGAATAAAAGGAAATATTCTTGTTCGTTTTGATTTGTTAATCTTTGAGTATTTAACTGATTATTAAATATATTTCAAATATTATGTTTTATATTAATATTTATTTATTTATTTCTCAAAACACACTGTGGCCAGGTTGGCCTTTTACAAGCATCTTACAGCAAAAATCAACAAAACCAACAAAAAAAAAACAAAAACAAAAACAGGACGCGAGCTGAGAAAGAAAATTAATTAAGAACAAATATCACTGTGGCTTAAGTTTTTTCCGTTTTTTTTTACATTTTTTTTGAAGATTTTATAACTCGATATGCTACGTAAATCGTTGCACAGACTATTCCAATAGAAGATTAATTGAAAGATCGATGCAGATCTCCTCACCTCTAGTTTAACAATTGGAAGACTATATTAACGAATTATACGAGTATCTCGTGTTGATCTGCGACATTCACCTATACCAATTCCGAGGAAGCTGTTTTCTTTTTTTCCTTTATATCAGGGCTGTGGAGTCGGAGTCGGAGTCGGTAGACTTTTACGCGACTCCACAGCCCTGGCAAAGCTGTGGAGTCGTAGTCGGAGTCGGAGTCGTGGAGTTTTGGTGTTTTAGCCGGAGTTGGAGTCGGAGTGGGATGGTAAGGAAAAGTCGGAGTCGGTAGATTTTTACGCGACTCCACAGTCTTGCTTTATATATTTGAAACCCTCCAATAGAATCTGTTTCTTGTAAATTTCACTAATCTTGTTAATATTATCGGTGCGGTAGAGTTCAGATACTGATTCCATAAAGTTTAAATTATAAATTGAACGCATGTAAATATTTTGTGACATCTGAAGTTTATTAACAGTGTATAGAGATGTGGTTCCCCATACAGCGATACCATATCTTATTTTAGATTCAATGCAAGTGTGGTAGGCCTACAACAGTTTCAAGAGTGATGTACTTAAGAAAGCTTGAATTTTCTTATTTATCCCAGTATACTTTGCCAGGGAAAGTGCAACATCATCTATATGTTTGTTCCAGCGCAGATTATCATCAAAAGTTACTCCCAAAAACTTAATAGCATTTACTTTTTCTATGTTGAAATCAGTTATTTTAATATTTAGGTGATGCGGATTGATTATTTTATTCCTATTTGCAAATAATATTAAATATTATAGAATATTTAATACAGGATTTTTGTAAACAGATAAAAATTAAAAATTCTTTATTGAAATTACATACGAAGAATAAGGAGTATAAAAATGTTTACATTTCAATACAACTGATATATATATAAAAGCGGGCATTTTATAATTCATGTAAATTGTTTTTGTTCTACTTTTTAGTTTATTCCCTCTGGAAAACTATCAAGTACGCGTATTAGATATTAGTATGTAAATATTATCAATTTTTTAAGAAAGGTTCAATATAAACAGATAGTTTCCGTTTTAATCTCTATACTTCATCGAAGTTTTGCGTCTTTTTGTCGTATTGTAAGTATATTTAACGTTTTTATATACCGAATTTGCGTAATACGCCTTTTAATTGATAGGGTAATTGTACACACAGTGCATCTTATCATTTCTAATAATTTCAATATGTAAATTGTATTTGCCACAACATTTATTGTGTTTAATACAATATATCTAATCTTCAGTAGGCTGATGAGGTGTCTGAGTACCCAAAATGTATTTCCTATATTAATTAAAGCCATAATTGAATACTTCGAGTTATTTAATGATTGTATTCCTTCCCGTCTTCACGTGATAAACCTTTTTTTAATTATAGCCGCAACTCGGCTAATCGTTTAATGTATGGTGAAAATAACTAATTTATAGGGGTTTAAACCCCTAAGTCTTCCCTTATCCCGGGGGAAAAATCCTCAGTTTCGCTCCCTCTCGAAGACCATGTCTATAGGAACATACTTGATGAACGATAACACATTTTAAATAACACACTCTTTAGATCGTTACTTTCGATTGGATAATATAACGTCACGTGATCACTAGGAAAGTTTTATTTTCAAAACTTTTTGTAGAAGCGATAGGACGCGGCTATTTTCTTTAAATAAATCATAGATTGGACAAAAACAGCATAAATTATAGAAAATTCACACACAGAGACACTCGCTCACGTGCTGGTTCACATTGCTTTTGTATTGCCAGCGGGAGAACCACAAGGTCTCTCCAGACAGACCACTGAGAGAGATGATTGTCTAATCATAATACGAGCGTGAACAAGCTGAAACGTCTTTAAATACCATTCAGAGACAGATGCAAACCTTGCTACACAAAACTCTCTCTTCTTGTACCACACGCAGGCGACTAACAGAGGAAAATTTGTATGCTTAATTGCATGCTTACTGTTCGACGGCGTTTTCAACACCATCGATTATGTTTGCAGTGGTCTACGAAAGAGAAACACGGACTGTTACCGAACATATTAGCAGCCTGTTGTCTGCTGTGAAGTACTGTAATTCGTTTCAGTTTGGAAATGGACGATCACCATACAATAAAGTGCGTATAATCACTGGTGAGTTCTTCATTCCCTCTTTTACTGTCGAGCGCTCACTGGCCCACTGATGACATGAAGCAGTCGAATGTCATACGAAATGGCGTTTTAAGTAGTGCTACTAGGATCATGGATAGGTTCAGAAAATTCTACGCCCTTTCACGGTAAACAACCATTTTCGGAATATAATCCTCAATGGCACACAATTAGACATTTCTAGGGATATTTCCATAGCGATGTCACATTTCCTGAGCTTGATCGATGGCCATATTTGTAGTCCATTGAAAAATTTATGTGGTCAGTGGAGAACATAACGGGCATCTACGAATGTGAAAAATTTGAAATGCGCGTTTCAAAAGCTGTGGGCAAATCTATGACGTAATAGAATATGGTGCTTATGTTTCCGTATAAAACTGTTTGCCTTTACATATTCAGGTTGATAAGTTCGTTATTTTCTGTTATATTCCTTGCGAGTTAAGATAAACAAACAATACGGCTCCAGGCCCAACGCAACACCATAACATTACATCATCGCGCAGATATTCTTTTACTTATGCACCATTTTACTGGTGTTCTGACGGGACACAAAAGGACATCTTGTGAACGCATTCAAAAGTCGACTCCCCTATAACACGGTAGATACGTTCCGGTTTTTATGAAATTCATTTTCTACGAGTCCTTAAATACATGAGCCAATCACAGCCCGGCACGTATGCAGTTTACGGACTACGGCTGTTTGAAAGGTTTTCTTCCATAGAATTAATCGATTCTAGACTAATTCGACTCAACATTTCCAAAACACGTATAATTTTTTGGGAATAATCCATAGAAACTATGCTATAAACAAAAAATTGTAGTTTTTTTAATAAAGTAAAAATTGCATTACAAATACTAGTCGTATTTTGCTTGCTTGCCATGTCCAATTACCTGGAACAACCATTCTTCACTGCAGAGATGACCTTTCTTTGTAGGCTACAGCTCTGCACAAATATGTAAAATAGTCTAAAAATGTTTAGAAGAAAACGTTATATTTTTAATTGTGTTGGGATTGTCACCTATGGACATTTTAGACTATTTTACATATTTGTGCAGAGCTGTAGCCTACAAAGAAAGGTCATCTCTGCAGTGAAGAATGGTTGTTCCAGGTGATTAGACATGGCAAGCAAGCAAGATACGACTAGTATTTGTAATGCAATTTTTACTTTATTAAATTGTAATTTCTGCCAGCCCCTTTTTTACAAAAAAAAAAAATTGTAGCATTACTTACCGAGTGAGCACCGTTCGATGACGCCATTGCTTAAGCTTGTTTTTGTCGTGGAGCGGTGCATCGAATTGCGCTCGCGTGCTTCCTGATAAATTATTTTTCTGCGAAAACTTTGCTGAACTTTGGAGATATCATTAATATAAATATAATTTTTATGGCCGTTAAATAATAAATGGTTTTTAGTAAGTCCATTGCTAGTTTAAACTGCAATATCTGCTATTGGTCTATATTCGACCAATCCTGTCGCGACACGAGTCGGCGATGATATTTTACTGAATTATACCAGTCTCTTCTAGCGTGTTTATACGAATACGGTCGCAATTTTTTCGCCGTCATATAGGGATCCGAACTATATGAACCCGTTTTATAAAGGGGGTCTACTGTATATGCAATTTTGTAATACTTTTGTGAAGATTCTTGATAAACAATTTAATGGCGAAGAATTTACGGTTACAGAAAAATATAAAGAAATCGAAATATCAAAATAATGAATTGAAATATAAAAATTTAATCTACAAAACCGACCATTTTTAGTAAATTTAAGCTTAAAATTTTCTGTAAAATCATTATAATTGTTTTTCTTAAAATACAGTATATTTTTTTTATTGTGTTTTAGGCACTTGTTTACACCTATGGTATTTCATGTAAGAACAAGAAAACAAAATATCAAACGTGCATTTTTTGCATGAAGAATAATGAAACTTTTTAATAAAAAAATATCTTGTCAATATATTTTTAAAGACCGAATAGTGGACGCGTTAAAGACAACTGCTTGCTGCTCTGATGATCCTGAATTCGAACCCGAGTCCAGACTCAAACCATTTCTAATAAGATTGTATTCAGAACTAATAACCAAGAGTTAGAAATTAGCCAATTACCATTCATTTTGCTTTTAGTACGTGAATGCTTATTGGTTAACTTGAAACTTTTGAGTGTTGTTCGTATATTATTACCGTCAGCATAAAAGAAGGAACTGCGCATTGAAATTCAGTAATACATACTCTGTTAAAATTCCATACTATATATATATTTATGCTGTGAAATTTTATAGAATAATGTAATAAGAATAGTGATAATTGGATAATTTTCAGACGGAACATCATGAATTACATAACCCTGATACTATCAGCCATTTCCTTATGCCAAATTTTACCTGCAAGTGCATACGATACCAAGAAGGTCAAATCATTTTTATCGTAAAGTTTCTTTATTATTGATATATATACAGAAAATTCAATTAAAATATAAATTATTGTATATTTTTTAGATTTCAAAAAGAAGTAACTCGATCGACTGGGAAACCTGTAATGATAACGCACCAGTAAAAATCCAGAGTCTGTCCATAACTCCATATCCAATACCATTAAGAGGAACCGTTACTATAAGTGCCAGTGCCGAGGTAGAATGCGCTATTGAAGGACCTATACACGTAAGATCTTTTCTAATGAAAGATATAACTTTCATTATTTAGTAATTTATTGTAAAATTACAACTTTTTCCTTAAATTAGGTAAATATTAAAATATACAAAAAATTTGTTGCTTGGATTCCTGTAAAAACTATTGTTATAAATGACTTATGTGAGAAGTTTCCGTCAAAATGTTCCGAGACGCCGAAGGAAAATGAATTGCCATGTAAATGTCCAATTGAAGCGGTAAGAGTTCTTTCAAATAATTTATTTTTAATATTTATCCTTAAATGAAATTTCTTAGAAACTATAAAAATATAAAATTACTTTATAATCAAAAGTATGAAATTTTGATTATAAGTTAACGAAGCATCACTCTATAATAGAACTGGCTTCGACATTAAAAATTTGGCACTCTTCTTAAATACGGAATTTAAAAGTAGGATTTTTAGCATATCTGTTGTGGTATTATACAATTGAATATTTCTTCCGAAGATATGGTCTAAGTTTATCATACTGCATCTTAAGGAATTGGGTTTGATTTTGGATGGCTTAAGACCCGGCCAGCTTTCATGGCAATTAAGTCGTGTAAATTGGCATCTAAGATGAAACTGGAATAGCCGAGCCTATAAAGGCGTTTTCATTGTTCAAGAAGCTACTTTCTTTCATTTAATATTGGTTTGATGAAATAAGGCAGAGAGTGTTTCTGGGAGGAATTTCTATGAGAAACTGGCCTGTATTTTGGTGTTAGTTTCTCTCTGAAGACACGATTCAAATTAGTGTTTGGAACGCTCACGAGTCTTTCACGGGTAGTTTGGCTGAAATATATCAGGCTCTGTTCCTATCAGCTGTTTCATTGCAGATTTTCACTAATCCAGAATGATAATGGAGGAAAAAGTCACAAGATAAGAAGAGCTAAAAAATATAGATGTATTATTATTTATTTATTCCCACTATGTATAACGGTTTATTCGAATAGCCGCTGTTACTATTTCAAACTGTATATTTACTCTCGGTATTATTCAAGAACGGCTATTATTACCTTTTATTGTTTGCTTTCTTCTTTTTTGTACACGTCAACGCGTACAACATGTATATGCCAAGGGAGATGTCTTTCGGGAGGACTTTGTACGGGAAACTGGCCTCCCTTAAATGTTACAAACGTGAAGAAAACTCGGAAAACTCCATGTGGACTGTCCTTTGGTGAGGCGCGAACCCACGACTAGTGTTCGACGGTTTTTATCCACTTGGCTACTGGTAGGCTACAATAATTAAGATAAATATAAATTAATAGAATAAGAAAGACAGCGAGACAAACTGTAAATAATAATAATTTTTCGGAAATCTTCGAACAATGGACGCGACTACGATTCGAGGGCAATTGTCATTTCAACTTTAATGACACGATACAGTTATTATTGGAATAAAATTGGCAATTACAAAAACATTTAAAAATTTTAAGTAACATAAGTGTTTGTATTTCCAGAATTCATACCGCATACCACCTGTTGAATTCCAAATGCCAGAATTACCGGCTGCTGACTTCTTAGTCAAAGGAGACTACAGTGCAACTATAAAAGGATCTGAATGCGGGACCGAAGTTTTCTGTTACAATGTATATTTTTCATTAGGTTAATAGTAAATATGTATATTTATCAAATGCTTAACCACGACGAATTTTGAATATAATGTATTTTAGTTTATTAAATTTATAATTGAATGAGTTGATTGCACCGTTTTAAGGTTAAACCAAGAACGAATTTCTATTAATGTTCTGTCAATGATATTTATTTAAAATTTTAATATTAAATTATGTTAATGTCGAATCCATCAATAAATGAAAAAGAGGAAGAAGATTCGTACATGTTTGCTGATATATTATTTTTAATTTGTTATCTCAAAATCGTATTTATTATTGATAATCGTTTGTATTTTCATATTGTAGTTCTTTGTTTAAGAAAATCGTTTTAAATTTTTTGCGGGTTTAATATGTAAATCTTAATGATTTCATGTCGGTATTCTTTGGAAAAAAATCTTAATAAAAATTTCTAAATTATTATTTTTATCTTAAAACGAGTAATTATTTATTGCTACGGCGTCAGAATGCCAGGCTGCAATTTGTAATAATATTTTTACTTAAAAGGAAATCACGTGACTTCCGTTCGGAACCGGAAGCTCGTACATAGTTTATCGGGCTCTGGCCCCTAATCTTTTCATATCCATTCGCGAGATTAACGAAGGACAGACGGACAGAAGACAGTGAGAATGTACAGGTCTGAAATTCGAAAATTTCAATAAGCAATTTGAAAATAAATAAAATAGAACTTTTTAAAGAAGCTGAGTTATTTAAATTTGAAAGATCGGGAAGCAGGGAAGACAAAAATAGGTTTCCTCTGAGATGCATGTTACCATTGAGGAGACACTGACTGTACGATACAATTACGACATTGCGTACAGCCGATGGAGTTTCAAAAATGCCGCTTTATCGCGCTGAGGTTAGTAAGATGGCCGTTTCGCCGAATTTTCCAATACAAAGGTTGATGCGCAAGAACAAACGTTAAACTTGTACGGCAAGCAGAAGTACACGGTTTACGTTTTAAGTCCAAGTAAAAGATCTTGCGACGAGTAGTGAGTGGCTTATGTAAATTGGAAAACAGCTCGGAAAGTTAATTTTTAGAAAATTTACAAACGTATTACGCTGTTGACGGTAGAAGATGCCGTGGATACTACCTCAAGATAAGCTATTATGAAGACAAATATATGTAAATTCTATAGGCACTTCGCATCACTTGCTAAAAAATTGAATAATTAAATGATTTCTGGATTAAAGTCGTCTGTTTCTTTACAATATTATTCGTAAATGCTTAAATAATCATTTTACCGATGCACCAATGCAAACAAAATCGCCAACGAAAAAATGTCGTCGGCGGTTACGTATGCGTTATAAGTATTGTAACATTCAGTACCCCATGCTATGTATTATTCCTTGCATTATTACTGCGATTGATTGAGAGGAAAAAATAGTTCTTAAGACGGAATTTGAAGAAATATTTCTACAGAAATGCCAGAGAATGCCTCGTTTAATAGCAATAAATTTAAGAATGTCAGAAATATGATTATGGAAAATTAATTTTTTGTCAAATATGACGCCGAGATCACGATAAGAAAACATAATTTATTTTAATGGAATAGATATAAATTGAAGGACAGTATGAGTTGCGAATTAAGGAGAAACACATAATACTGATCTTGAATATTAATTTCTAAATTATGACTTGCAAATGTAGAGCATACGGAATTAATATCAGCTTGTAAGGAGGAAGAATCGTTAAATAAAATTTTAATGTCGTCTGCATAGGCAACTATTTTGGAGGAAGGGTTAATAAATAGTTTATCTATGTATGCTGAGAAAAAGAGCATACTTAAAATTGAACCCTGTGGCATGCCACAAACGAGAGAAAAAGGCAATGACATTAATTTTCAAATCATACGATTTTAATTTCAACAATTTGTAAATACTTTTACTTGAAAACTTTATTAATATTAAATTATTACTATAATATTCAACAGAATTTGCATCCAGGTATTCATCTTCATCACAAATGACGATAGCAGTTTTAATAAATGTTTTAATAAACCATTTTTTTTTTTGAAGTGGGATCTTGCTACCGATTGGATTATATTCTCCGTTATAACGAAGACTAGTGAATTTATTTTCAGAAAAGCTATAATTTTCAGTGTAGAACGTGCTGATGCAGTATTTTTTTAATTCTTTAACTTTAATACAATGCCTTTATCAACAGTAAATTTTATATACAGTATATTGTATTACAAGGATTTCATTTTGAATGTCGTAATTACGATTGTGTTCTCCACAAATAGTTTTTTTATACTTTTTATTGCTACCGTCTTGTATATATTATTACTGTCAATATTATCGATAGTATCAATCACAGATGCCGGAATTGATATCACATGCTTCGTTTTACTTGAACTCGTATCTGATATAAAACTATGATGAATAAATGATTCAAATTTTTGTGTTTAGATGATAATTACTATCACCCGAAAACATAAAATTCCGAAATATATTTTTAAACTGATATGGAAAAACATTATTTTTTTGTATCCGAATTCCAACTTTATTGAATATCAGTACAATATACACTATGTATTAGTAAACCTTTTCTTACTGCAAATTCAACTTTAAATAGAAGTACAAACATGTAGCAAAATGGCTACATGTTTGTCTTCTGTTAAACACGAGCACCTTGCAATAAATACCGTATTCTCGCCTTACAAAATTAATTAATTAATACCCAATTATAATTGGTGTTACGAGATCTTTCAGAAATCAGATATGTAAATAAAAACATCGCCTAATCATATTTATAATTTTTACACCTTTTTAACTTAAAGAAATGATTAAGTATTTTTGGAATTATTTGATATTTTTATTCTACAGAAATACAATATAACTCAGATTATCCTTGCTAAGATGGTTGCCAATTCTAAGAGACCGGAACCCGTTCGACACCCAATAGTAATATTACCCAATAGATAAATATTACTTTTATCCTCCACCACCATCGGAGATGACGACACAATCTGAATAATAAAGTAACCTTAACCTATAGAATAGGATAAAAATACAATCCATCTAAACACAGATGGATTGCATAAGATAATCATCTCGCCTGATCTGGAGCGTCCAGGATTTGTCCGTCGTTTATGTATGGTCTGTTCCTCTTATTCCCTCAGTCACTGAAAACTGTGTTATTGTACTTCAACAAGTACACTGAAAATTGTGACACACAGTCAGCTTCTGCGTGCCTTTTTGTAGACTACTGAATAGCAATTATACTGTATTGCATTGATGCACGTATAAATTTCAATTCTTTCTGCGTTCTTCGCTAAATAAACGGTGCCGCAGTCCGATAAATATTGATTCGTTTTTTTTTAATCAAAAATCAAAATAGTATAAATAAAAATCCTAGCATCTCTATAAACGAAAACTGGTTAAAAATTTTATATTAATTGTATTCACTAGATCCAAACTATTATTATTGTGAGCAATGTGCTAATTAATAATAATTATCGAACTGTTAAATAAATCAACAATAACAAGAACCTGTAATGTTGTAATGGGAGTCAAATAATATGTAAATTTATATTAACTGTTGATCATGTCTACCAACTCCAAGACATTGTAAAATCATTAGTTCATATAATAATCTATGATATTAAATATTGAAATGTTAATTAAACCAATAATCATACATTGAAAAAATATTGTAGACGTCAGATATGTAAATTAATATTGCAGAAGTTATGTAAATTCGTATTATATTGTCAATGCGTATCAAAAGAAATAAGGATTTCGTAAAACAGATCAATGAGTGGAAGGCATAATCAATTGTATGCTAATTTGATAATTGTTGTCCAGAGTATGTTTATATCAAGAATATGTCCAGAATATGTTTTATAGTTTGTGTTAGTTATATAAAAAGTTTATGTCCAGAATATGTTTTAGATCAAGGATTTTGTAGAACTGTTTTGTAAGTGAAAGGTACGTTTTATATTTTTATGATTTCTACAATACTTGTGTTTTTATATGTATGTTATATTCTTTTTTAATGTTTTAGTTGGCTGAAGAGGGGCTTAAGAGCCCGAAACGTGTAAAATTTTCACACGTATCAACTAAATAAAGATGAGAAAACCCGCCAAGTGTCTTAATTTATAGCACTTTATTGTGTTAGAAGAGTAAATAAATTGATTCGTTTATTAAAGTAAGCAGTCGTCATGAACAAACACTTTTGGCATTTTGATTTCCAAGAAACTTTACTTTATTAAGAATTATTATTATTTTTTTAAATAAAATTCATCTCTATCCTCAAAATTAAGTGCTTTGTCGTTTTATAATAATAGTATAAAAATATTTTAATAATAAAATCTCATAACAGATGGTGCAGACACTATTAATGTAAAAATGCTCAACTTCAATAAATATCGAATTTTTAAACAGTTAGCCTAATATGAAATTTAATAACTTTTATCAAATGTAAAAATTTTTGTACAATTGCGAAAAACAAATTTAATTGTTGAAATAATTATAATTCTGCTTTAGACATATATCTACTGCAATGTGTTTTTTTGGTTAAAGTACAACGTGGAAATGTTCAACATTTAGTTCATTCTACTGATCGATATCCGTTATTTTTTAGTGAAACTTTTTATTAATAGAACCGGTCACATTCAGTGGAAAGTTGAGATCCGTGCTAGAAGGCCTCGGCAGAGAAGAGGTTTATATTTTCCAGCAGCGAAACCACCTTTTCCACCAAGGCCTTTTACGCTCGACGGATTCTTCCACGATTTCTTCGGACTCCTTTCTGTCTAGTCTCGTCTCACGTGACCGTGTCTCCACCGTCTATTTCGGAACTTCGGGGTATCGCCGCTTCAGATAATGAACAAGAAACGAGGCGCTGTCGTCCGGAGTTACGACGACCACTCATTTGATATCGGGTGTATGTGACTCTTCCTCCGCATCTTTCGGAAGCACCCGTATTACACGAGGAAAAGACGAGATGACATCCTCGGACACAGCATCCCGATGTGTGCCACTTCTTCAATTCTTTAAAAGTATTCGTTTTGCAAGAAAAATGAGCGAACGTTGTGAAAACAAAAGTTGCATTAATTAAGAAATATTCCTATTGTAATCTGTATTGTAAATTTCTAATCAAAAACGATTGTTTTAATTCTTTCAAAGTCAGAAATGAATGTTATAATAAAATCTCTATTTATTATATAGAATAATTTTAATAATAATATAATAAATATAATATAAATACAACTTTTAACAAAGACACCAGNTAAATTATTACTATAATATTCAACAGAATTTGCATCCAGGTATTCATCTTCATCACAAATGACGATAGCAGTTTTAATAAATGTTTTAATAAACCATTTTTTTTTTGAAGTGGGATCTTGCTACCGATTGGATTATATTCTCCGTTATAACGAAGACTAGTGAATTTATTTTCAGAAAAGCTATAATTTTCAGTGTAGAACGT